TTTTTCTTCTTTTTCTTCTTTTTCTTCTTCTTCTTCTTCTTCTTCTTCTTCTTCTTCTTCTTCTTCTTCTTCTTCTTCTTCTTCTTCTTCGGCAGAACTGGGGATTGAACTCAGCCCCTTGCCCTTATGAGGGAAGCACTTATTCTACTGAGATACTCATTTTTTAAACAGAAAAAAGTAAAAGCTTCAAAACAGACTAGTAGGAGAGTAACAATAATACGCTACATATTGTTATATGCACAGTAGTTTTCAGAGTACAAGATATAGGCATGAAATACTGTTCAAAAATATTTGCACAATTCTTTTCAGTGAACTGTTGAAAACTTAGCAGTATAACTTATGTATTTTTCCTTCCTTTTTCCCTTTCTCCCTCTCTCTTCTTTTTTCTCCCTTTCTCTTTTGATGAGTTTCTTCTCTATTCACAATACCTATTGTACATTTTGGATCTTGTTTACTCATTCAGTTTCTCAGACTAGTAAGACAATTCAGTGTTTACATGTGTGGGTCTGATTTATTTCACTTATGAGTAGTTATTCTGAGGGATTCAGAAATGAACTAGTCATGCTAATCCCCCCAAGGAGCTTATTGACTAGCTGGGGTGGTAAAACATGCAAATAGTTAAAACATTGCAGAAACAATTTTAGCCTAGTGGCTACACGTTTATGGACCTATATTCAAATGTAGTGGGGTGATCTTGGGTAGTGCTGTAAACCTTAGTATCCTTAACTTTCAAATGGATATTAATGGACATTGATAATAGTATTTATTCTACATAGTTGTAACAAGCATTAGAAATTTGATAAGGAAAAAATCCATATAAATGCTTTATTTAGTAGGTTAGCAGTCTTTTACCAAGAACTGAGTAACAGATCCTAGTATGTATTATCACCACTACCAAAGCATGTACATATTTCTGATCTTAAAGAATCAATAGAATGTAGTAACTGATAAGATACGTAAGGAAGAAGGAAGTCAAAGATGGTCAATATTCAGAAATATTGTGAATTTGTAATGCCTATTAAAATGGAAAGCAAAAGAAAATGTCTTCATCTTAGTTGGCAAAAGAGTTTGCTTTTGAAATTATGTAGTTTGAGGTAGTTGTGAAGCATTTAGACTCATCCATTTGGCAAGACTTATTTTGTAATAGCCTGTATCTCTTTTATGCATATAGCACCAAACCCATCACAAGAATTTTACAAATGTTTGTTAAATACATTAAATAGCTAAATCATATCTGGAAACATGCTGGTAATTAAAGAAACAAGAGAACCTTCAAGGAGGAGGTTGTATTTATTTAAGGCCTTAAAACATGGATAGTATTTGGAAAATCAGAGAAGAATTCAGTATCCTATATAGTAGAATAATATGATGGATCGTTGAGGTAGCTCTTCAGTACTGTGGGTGATAGGTATCAGGGGCCTTGAAATCATAGAGGGCATGAAATATGCCCCACAGATTTTTTTTTTGCTCAATTAAATAGCCATTGTTGAAGCAGGTGGGTGATATGGAAGACATTCTGGATCAAGCTTGACATCATGTATCAGGTTGTAGTGAGAAAAAAAACTGGGGACAAGACAAGTTAGGCAGCTATGGCAGTATATAGCATGTGTTGATCACTGACTGAATGTGAGCGAAAGAACAGTGAACATACTTGGGCTTTAACGGAAAGCACCTGGAAAAGTAGTATTCTTAGTAAGAAAAAGAGATTAGAAGAAAGTAAGTTTTGAGGAGGTGAGGCTTGCATTTAAGGCTCTTGGGTCCAAGCTACAGAAGATTCTCTGGATAACTTTATAAACATTGCCTTCATAAGCTTCCTTTAAATACCAAATTACTTTCAAGTATGACCATCATTATGTACCACCAGCACACATAGTTACAGGGGAGGAAGTAGGTGAATTTTTGACTGAATAGGTTATGCTATGTACATAGCCTATTTCTGACTAGATTGATCTCTTGGAGTGGAAGAACAGTCCCAGTGTTTATCTTTGTTATAGAGGACCTGACAAATTAAGGATATGCATTAAAGGTTCCATTTAATGAATTGTGATTCAAAATACACAGGCCTTCTAAACAAGTAACTCTTCTTGTGTGTTTTTTTTTCCCTTTGGTGGAACCAGGGATTGAACTCAGATCCTTGCACTTGCCAGGGAAGCGCGTATTCTACTGAGCCATCTTCCTGGCCCCAGTAACTCTTCTTAGAAACTCTTCTTAGAAGACTTGACTCTTGACGTTCTTAAAAGTTTCACCAATAGTCTTGAGTCTTCTACTTTTTGGTAACATAAGTGGTAAAAATAGGCTTCTGGGAATAGTCTTCAGTTGAATACCAACTCTGGCAACCTACCATCTGCTCTGTTTTGCTCACTGAATTCTTTTAAAACATTGAAATACAATTCACATACTATAAAATTCACCCTTTATAAGTCTACAGTGTTTTTTTAGCATATTCATAAGGTTGCACAAACATCACCACTATCTAATAGAACATTTCCCTACACAAAGGAAACCTCATATCTATAGCCATGTCCACCAGTTATTCCTCATTATCACTTCTCTCAACCAACTGCTGATTTACTAATATTGCCAGTTTTATTCAAAGGAAAGAGACAAAGATGATCTAATTCTATTAATTCCTAATGTCATTACCTTTTAGAATTGTACTGTGCAAAAGGAGTTATTAAATGGCTTTTGTCTTTATAGGAAGAAATATCAGGAGATAAAATGGGACAAACAGCAAATGAAGGTAAGATTTATTTGTTTAAAAATGAGAACATTTTTGTTTGTTTACAATGAATATCTTGGGATATACTGAATTTTTGAAGTCAAACCTTTTTGGACTGAAGATGGAGCTGTGTGGTAGAGTATTTCCCTAGCATGTTCAGGGCCCTGGGTTTGAGCCCCAGCACTGAAAAAGTAGGAGGTGTTAGGTGGTTAGAATTAGAATTTTAGAACTTAATATCTGTTAAAATAGTCACTTTTGTCCTAGCTTTATAAATGAAAAAACTGAAACTCAAAGAGGTTAAGTGATGGGTCATACAATAATTTGTAACAGAGATTATATTACAGGCCTTCTAACTTGTGTATGAGTGATATTAAAAAATGATTAATTTGATCTTGTTGTAGTGAGTAGTCTGTTTATTGTTGCATAAATGTGTCACATTCATTTTTATTTTGCTTTATATTGTATTTTCTTTTTGTTACACATTCCGATATTTGCTTTCTTAAATCCTATTCTTCCCTCAAGTCATATCTTTCATGACTTTTCCTGTGGCTAAATGCTGAGCACTAAATGTTATCTTCTAATTTTATTAAATGCATCAGTTTATTGTAGGCTCTATAAATAGATGATTGGGCCATGCCTTTACAGATTCACTTTCTTTCCGTTTTGAAAATCTCATTGTATAACTATTTAGTAAGTGTTGGATTTTTTTTTAGTACAAATCAAGTAGTTAAAAAAAATTCTCTCAAGTGTTCATGTAGCTTGAAGAATCCCTCAGCCATAACCAGTAAGTAGATCTATTACCATGAGATATATCCTTTCAAAGAAGCCTATCACTTGACAGTGAAAATATCCATAAAACTGAAACAAGATGGTTAGAAGGGTATCAGGTATGTTTGAATCAATGAGTTCATAATAATATTTTAGAAACCTGCAAATAAAACCTATTGGTCATTTGTGGAGAATGTTAGAGAATCTAACTCACTTTGAAAACTAGAGAATAAATGAAAGCAATGTGTTCATAGTGAGTTCATGTGTAATCTGTATCTCAGGGTAACTGAGTGTTTGAGGAAATACTTTTCTAAAGAAGTTTTCTGGATAGTGAAGAATGAATGGTAGACTATCTCTGTTTCACAAGCACTAATGGACTATGGATCTAGGCAATAGCTATCCACAGCTATGAACATTACAAAAAGAGAGATAGTTATATATTAGGAACCTCTTGTAATAAGTACACACCACCAATGAAATCAACTTTTCCTTTACCCTCACCCCCAAAGAAAAACTTTGAATCTGATTAAGCTCTTCTGGCCAGAGGTTTGTAGAGGTTGCTTGTGAAATACAAAAGCCAGAAACTATGAGAAAGGGGTCAGTAAAGTCCCGCTTGGAAAGCTATAAATTATCAGCCAACTGGTGTTGTCAGCAAGACAACTGGTGTTGTCAGTAAGGGAAAAAAAAGAAGAGTCTATATATCAAAAGATATTTAAGAAACATATCAACATGTATTATTTGAGTTCAGACTCAGACATACACACAAGATAATTAAGACAATTGATGAAATATAAATACTGGTAATTTTAGGAATTGTAAATAATTCAGGTGTAATAACATCATAAAGTTTTTTTTTAAAACCTTCCAAAGGTACACAATGTAATACATGTATATAAAATGGTATGTCTTAGATTTGATGTGGTCTCATGTCTAGTTTGAGTTCTGCAGCTTGCAACAGGGGGAAAATTGCTTAGTTCATTGAATTACATTGTACTCTGATTTCTCTGTTACATGTTGGGCATTTCAAGCATTCACTTTACTTGTAGGACATGATAACTTAAGCATTGTAAGGAGTAGCTTACATTGTTTTAGCAATGCATTCATTCAACAAGTGCTTGTAAGTGTTACATGCATAGTTCTATTCTAGGAACTAAGGATACAGAAATGAACAAGATAAAAATAAATACTGACCCTTATGGTACTTTCATTTGAATAGAATGAGATATACAGTAAACAATAGAAATGAGCAAATTATAAAGAACATAGTAGTTAAGACAAAAGCTGCCCATTAAAATAGTTTTAGTTTATTTTTTTTCAAGTGCTTTTTCAGACTATTGGTGTAACTTTGTGGTATTGCTATTTTCTGTTTTTGGCAGATCCAATGGATGTCAAGAAGGAGACTCAAGAGAAGACTCATTCAACCACATCTGCACACAGTGGTAACATCTTTTTTTTTCTCAATGCAAATATTACTTTGATTTTGATGTTTTTCATGTGATTTCACTTACAGATAAATTGATAATTATACTTCAGTGCAAATTTTGCTGAATCCTAGATACTGCATTATTGCTGTTTATTACCACCTTGGAATGTATTGGTTATTACTAAGCCCTTCTTTTTAAACATTGTTCATGGTGAAAGTTTTTTTTTTTCTTTTGATTCAAAGGCAGCTCATTTATTAAAGAGCTTAGATATTAGGGGATCTGACAGACAAGCTCTTAAAATCATGGCCTAACTCCTTACCTCCTAAATGGCTTTGGGAAGATTATTCAATATCTCTTAGCCTCTTTTTTCTTTTTTATAGCACAGAGATAATAGTTTTTACCTCATGAGACTGTTTCAACTAATTTAAAAATGGTTATAAAGCACACAATATAATGCCTAGTTATGTAGTAAATATTCAGTAGGCACTGCACTCATTTATTCAACCTGAGTTATTACTTCATAATTTTAAGTTCCTTATTTTGAACAGAATGTGTATAAAATGGTAAGAGAGAAACTCAAGAGACAGACTCTGACACAGTGGACCTGCTGCTCCCAAGGAAATGAGAAAATAAGTTATATGCATACAATCTGGGTGTAGTAGTGCATGCCTGTAATCCCAGCATTTGAGAGGTTAAGGCAGGACTGTTACAAGTTCAAGACCAGCCTGGGCTACAAAGTGAGCTCAAGGCCAGCCTGTACTGCATAGTGAGACCCTGTCTCAAAAAAAGACCAAAAAAAGTTATTTGCATATAAAAGCTGAATAAAAATAACTTAACAGACTATTGTTTTATGAGAAACTTCCAGGTAAACTTCTAGTCCCTTGTCTTTGTATTGTGCCTGCCCTGCCAGCCTTGATCCTGGAGTTCACCCATACATTTGTATTCCTGCCTAAACATTGCCTGTAGAAGTTAACCCCCATGGAATCATTTCTCCCTGTAATTAGGTCCTCAGTGCTCCCTTTTTCATTCACCTTATTATTCTGCAGCTTTACTTTTCAACTCCCTCCAACTCTCCAATGAAATGGAGACCATTGGGTTAAAACATTATTTCTCTTCTGATTTTTTGTATATAACATTTAAAATTTTTTACAACTTTTTTGAGCAATAACTCACACACCATATAGTTTATTCATTTACTTTTTTTCATATTTTGGTACAGGGTCTCACCACACAGCTGGGACTGGTGGTGATCCTCCTGTTTTCAGCCTCCCCAGTGCTGGGATTATAGGCGTGTGCTACCATGTCCAGACTCTGTTGCCAGCTCAGCGCACCCTGGGGATGGGGCTGGTGTGGCAGGGGATACTGGGGAACGAACCCTGGTCCCTGCGTTTGCTAAAACAGGTGCATTGTCTGCGGAGCTATCTTGCCTGCCCCTGTTTTTTCTTTTACTTGATTATAACTTATTCATTACAATCCAGTGGTGTTCAGTATGTTTAGAGTTGTGCAGCCCATCAGTACAACTAATTTTAGAACGTTTTCACCACCCTAAAAAGAAATCCTATTTCGGAGCAGTTATTACCCATTTCCCCAAACACATTTCCTTTTTTTTTCTTTTTTTTTTTTTTTTTTTTTTGCAGAACCAGGGATTGAACTCAGGCCCTTGTGCTTGCCAGGGAAGTGCTTATTCCACTGAGCCATCTCCCCGGCCCCCACATTTACTTTTTCTAGGCCAACAGTGATCATTTCTTTCTCTGTAGGCAAACAGTGATCCTACCACATAGATTTGCTATTTTACCTTTACAGGTTTGCGTTTTTTAAATATGTAATCAATTTATTATTACTTTAGAAAGTAAAAACAAGTATTTCCTACCTCAAAAAGCAGTGAGACCAAATGTATATGAATTAAGCCCATAAGGAAAGGAACAAATTGGCAGAATGGTGAAGAATAATGATCCAATTGTATAATTGTATACTATCTACAAAGTACATACAAGACTAAATAATACTAGAACAAAGCAAAAAATAGGTAAAGATGCATTATGCAAATATAGTAGAGGTGAAGTGGCCATATCAATGTGAAACAAATGGACTTTTAACACAAAAAATGTACCAGTTAAAGAAGGATGTTTTATGTAATTAAATGGAGAAAATATTAGGAAGCTATAACAAACATAAATATACTTGCAGGTAACAAATTCTCCCTTCACTTACATTAGTTTTTGCAACATGGTCTTTTTTTGTATTTTTAGTACAGGGTTTGCAGGGTCTCTCTACACAGATCAGACTCATAGCGATTCTCCTGTTTTCAGGCTACCAAGTGCTGGGATTATATGCTCACGCCACCAGGCCCAGTCTCAATCACTGTCTCAGCTCACCCCAAGGGTGGAGCTGGCGTGGCACTCTGGAGGATCAGACCCCAAAGCAGATACTTTAATCTGCTAAACTACCTGGATGGCCCTAAAGATATATTCTTAAAAGGTTGAAGCTAGTAACTTTTCAATGTCTCGAACTTTTGACTTGGAAAAAGAAAAGATTACTTAATGGAATGATAGACATCTGCAGATGTCTGGGCCTAGACCATAACATCTCATATTAGGAATAAATGAATGAGATCCAGGGATGTAGTTCAGTGGCATAAGCCACTGCCTGGCAAGAACATGGTCCTGGGTTCAATCCCTGGTATCTACAAAAAAAGGAATAAGTGAGTCATTTCTAGGGGATAAGCTCTAAGAGAGTCTTGGAGGTTAGGTTTTATCTATTTTATTAACTGACTCAGTTCTAGTACCTCGGACAGTGGTGTATAGTGGTGACTCACTATGGGAACTCAATGATGAAAAAGATAAATATGATTCCTGCCCTCTTTGAGCTTAGGGGACAAGATAGACAAACAATTGAGGTAAGTGTTGTAAAGTAGTAAGTGCTGATCATTCAACTGAGAAACTTCTACCCCTGGATATTTTGCCTATCTTCTTCACATAGCTGTGAATCCAAGCCTCGACCTAATCAAAGGTGGCTTATATAGATTATATTCAATATGCCAAAAGGTTTATGTAGAGCTTTATGTATAGGTTAGAATGGAGTAGAAGTCAAATAAGGACATCCATGGGAATGTACAGATAATAATCAAATCACAAGGTTATGTATATGAAGAAATCTGTTAGTTTCCGGGTATCTTAGTCACTCTTCTCTTATTGCTGGGACAGATACCCAACAGTCAGAATGAGGGAAGGAAAGGTTTATTTAGCTCACAGTTACTGGAGGTGTCATAGTCTAAAATAACCTGAATTACATAGCAAGACCTCAGAACCTTATTTGCTCAGGAGAGTGGGTCAGTTCCTCTGTCTTCTTCAAACATCTCTTCTGCCTGAGGCAGCTTCAAACACAAACTACCGCCCCACTCTGCAGGGTCTGGAGGAGAGGCTGGGGCACCACCATGTCCAAGATGACCCTCTCCATACCTCCAAGGGAGGCCACTAGCCTAGGGTAGGGGGGCGGAGCATATGCTGCCAGTTTAAGGGTTCGAACTTCTCTGGCTCTGCCCCTCAAGCTCTGCCCTGGTTCTCTGGACCCACCCCTCAAGCCACTCACTGCTTCTCCAGCCTCATCTGCTCCGTGACTTACATGAGGCTTTGGGGGGACAACTAGACACAAACCATAACAGTGCAGATAATAATCAGATCACAAGAATATATATATATATATATATATATAAATATATATATATATTATATATATATATAAATCTATCAGTTTCCAGCCATCTGTAGAAAAAAATGAATCCATGCTCACCCTTACTTTCTCATGAACAAGATGTAGAGGCAGACAAGGGCCTCAAGCTTACTTAAGATTCTCTATTTTTGGCTCCTGGTTGGGAATTCCAGCAGTAGTATTGGTAAGGATGTATCAAATCTAAACTAGTAAAGCCTGTATGCATGTATGTCTCCACTGTGTTATTGACAGTCTCAGAACACAGGCAGCCAGGAGGAACAGTTTTATTGAGGCAGTCTAAAAAATTTTCCAGAGGCTGGGGAGATAGCTCACTAAGGGCCTAAGTTCCATCCCCGGTTCTGACAAAAAAAAAAAAAAAATCAAAATTTTTCACATGAAAAAGAACAAAAATTAAGGCTCCAAATGATAAATGATATAACCAGCTAGCAACATGATAGAAAGTGATTCTATTACAGTATACCAGTTATAAATTATAGCTTATAGTATAAATGGTGATAAAAGGATGACAAATTTGTAAAGTATTTTCCACTGTCACTGAAAAATTTTACAAAGGTTATTGGCTTATGAAAGAGTGTTCTTTGGGGTATACAGTCCATGTGAGATTATAGGTTGTAAGTTACTCTTCACCTTAAACTCCTTTTTGAGTTGTCAGCTCCTTTGTTACACACTACGCAAAATTTTATCCATTATTATTATTATTATTATTATTATTATTATTATTATTATTTTGGCACTGGTGGTTGAACCTAGGGATACTCTTCAGTGATCTTTTTCCTGTATGTGTTTTAATTCATTTATTTGGTACAGGGTCTTACCACACAGTTTGGATTCACAGTGAGCCTCCTGTTTCAGCCACTCCAGTGCTGGCATTATAGGCCTGCACTACCATACCTGGGTGGTTTCAGTGGCTGGCTCGCTGTGCCCAGGGTGGGGCCGACATTGCATGTGGTATAGGGGATTGAACTCAGGTTCTTATGCTTGCCAGGCAGGCTCTTAAACCACTGAGCTATCTTCCTGGCCCTGTAGGTGTGTTTTGAGACAGGGTCTTGTAAGCTGCTCAGGCTGACCTCACAGAATCTTCCTACGTCAGCCTTCTGAGTAGCTAGGATCCCAGGTGTGTGCCACTGTGCCTATTTAAAATTGCTTTTAAATGTTTTCCTAGATGAGTGATGGTGAACCTTTTAGAGCTTTCAGCACACAAACAGCCCATTGTGGCACATGTGCTGTAGGTTCCCCACCACTATCCTAGATCATGTGGTGAGTTATAGTTGAAATTTTGTCCCTGATTGTCAGCTTAGTAGAACACCACTGAAATCTCTGGTCACTTTTATTTTGAAGCCATGGATTTCTGTTTTCACTTTTGAGAAAGCCACTAAGTTCACAAATTTAGGCACAATTATGACTTTTCATTTTATAATACACCCCTTATTAAGTGACTTATTTATGTACTTCATTTACCCCTCAAAACACATAGTATCATATATAGTACTGTACTCATTTTACAGAAGAAGGTGAAATGACTTATTCAGAGTCATATAGTGGGCAAATTGGACTCCAAAGTTCATATGCTTGATATTGCTACATGACTTTCAACACTCTTGGTAATCATCTGGAAGTGGACTTAGACATGTATTTTTAAGTTTATAGTTTGATGCTTAAAATGTACAGAATGTTACATATGACTTGCTTAATACCATGTATAATGCGTATACATGTAATGTGCACATATGTAATGGCAGTGTGCTATAGCGGGCTCACATGGACTTAGGAGAACCTATTATGCACATCCCTTCCTATGTAGTTGGAAACTTTATCTTAGCTCCTTGCAGTGAGCCATGGTGCTAGTATTTACACTATAGAAAGCCACACCACTAGTTAGGCATTTTGTTTGTATTTTCATAAAGCTGGATGTTAAACATTTATCAACACTTGTCTCTTCATGTGGGTGTGTGAGAGAGAGAGACAGACAGTGTGTGTGTGAGAGAGACAGAGAATATTGTATCCTTTGAAGAACACAGTATTTCTCCATTTCCCCTTATCTGGCATACATTCATCCTAAGACCGCCAGTTGATACTTGAAACCATGGTTAGTATCGTATCCTATATATTTTCTTATACTTACATATCTAAAAAACTTTATAAATTAGTTACAGTAAGTATTAACAGCTAAACTTGTAATTTACCGTAGGTTTTAGCAACATTAATGTGATTTTTTTTCATTCCTTAGTTGAGAACTTCAACCTTTTTGCTTAAAGAAGTAGCACTTTATGGCTTCTGTTTTGGATATCTCCATTGCTACCATCATTATTCTTGCACTTTGGGGCCATTACTAAGTAAAATGAGTTACTTGAACATAGGTATATTGATATTTCAGCATTTGATATCATAAATGAGATGACAGCAAAGTGACTAATAGGTAGGTGGGGTACACAGTGTAGATAAAGGGATAATTAATGCTCTGAGTGAGATGGGGTGAGGCAGATTTCATCCAGATACTCAGAGACTTCATGTAATTTAAAACTTATGAACTATTTATTTCTGGAATTTTCCATTTAATAATTTTGAACTATAGGTGAGCATGGATAACTGACACTGTATATTGAGGGGACTAGAGATAAGGGGAGACTACTGAATATGTGAAGCTGGTAATGCAGATTCCCCCAGGGTAGAATATTTGCTTTTATATAAGGAGTATAGAAGGCCTTCTTGGTTGATAGGAATTAAGTTTTCATGTAATGCTAGTCTTCAAGTGAATTGAAGTGTTCAAGCCAAACAAATCACACTTCTGATCTTGCATTACATGTAAAAGGACAGAGTAGATCATTAAAATAATGTGTTTTGGTGGCTGCATTAATGATGATTTACTGGTTTGTCCTACCACTATACTTTTGTCATTCTTCCTGGAGATTTAATAATTCATTGAGAAATTACTCTGGTTCTTAATTTCTTTTTCTTTCCAGAAAACATTGCAGAGGTAAAATCTTACTAGACCACATATCTGAACACCTTCACATTAATGGATGAAATTTAGCAGACACATTTCTTGAAGTAATTTATATTAGAGTTAGGTAAATAGTGCTGTTATGTTATATATTATTTGATTGTTTCTGTCATTCACACTTCTAGAATTGCTGTGCTTTAGTCCTCAGCAGATTGAAAGGATCTGGGCTTTTTTATGTATTTGGTACCAGGTCTACAGGGTCTCACTATGTAGATTGGACTCAGTGATTCCCCTGTTTTCAGCCTCCCAAGTGCTGGGATTACAGACGCGTGCCACCACACCCAGTCTTGGGATCTGGGTTTTAATTTATATCAGTGCTATTATTTTTCAGAAAGTTGGCATTTTTATTTCCATGCTAATAATCAGATGGAGATTAATAAGTTTCAATCTGCTCTTTAGGAAGCATTTTTTTAAAAGATCATGAAGCTAAAATCCATTGTATGACTGGGTGTGGTGGTTGCATGCCTGTAATCCCAGCAGTGGGCATCCTGAGGCAGAAGAATCCCTGTGAGTTAAGATTAGCCAGCACCGTGTAGAGAGACCCTGTTTCCAACAACAATAAAACCTCACTATATTATGAGAGTTAGTGTATGTGTTTTATGTACATGTGTTTTTTTCCAGATGATTTTGACTGGGACGTGTATCTGAAAGAGACTGGATCTGTAAGTGCTCCTTCAGAGTGCTTCAGACAGGTATGCTAAAATTCTGTAAGATGATATAAACTATGTACTTTGTTGAAAGATTTCCTGTTGCTAAGTTCTGATAGTATGAGGAGAAATTGAGATTGTGCCTATGTAAGTTGGAAGCCAGGTGGTCTTTTTGCATTCACTCATTTAGTCTGTGTTGGGTATATTAAGACCATAAAATTGCCCCTCTTTAGAGAGAAAGACATGGAAATAAATAATTATGAGAAATGCCATAACTCTGTAGTGGGGTCGGGAAAACTCATAGATGAGGTGGGATTTGAGATGGTAGGGATGAGAAGGATATTCCAAGCAGAGAGAACATCTGAGAACAAAACAGTTTTGGAAGAATCTGAGTAGGGAGGGATTACATGGGATAGCTGGAACACAGTTCCTTAGGTGATAGTATGGGAATAAGATTAAAGGTGTAGGGTGTTTAAACTGTGCTCAGGAGTTGAACTTTTATCAAACGGTGATAAAGTGCTAGGTGGCTTATTTCAAGGGAAATGGCTTAATCAAAGTCTCATTTTAGAAAGACATTTAAAGCTAGGTTGCTAGATGTGGGCAGATGAGTGATAGTAGCAATGTGTCCTATTTCTAATGCTGCATGTCAAATCAAGGAAAGAGTTTGGAGATCTTTTTCTTGACCCTTGCAATTCTGACTTCATTCACCATCTGTTGTAACTCTATTAAAATAATTTTAAATGTTTCTAAGGTACTAAGTTAACTGATCAACTTTTTTTTCCTTAGAGTTGATGTATTTTAACAAAACTATTTCTGTATATGTAGTCGAAGATTCCACCTGCTAATGACTTCAAAGTTGGCATGAAATTGGAAGCCCATGACCCTCGCAATATTACTTCAGTATGTATTGCCACGGTTGTTGGAATGTCTGGGGCCAGATTACATCTACGGCTGGATGGTAGTGACAATAGTAATGATTTTTGGAGGCTTGTTGACTCTTCAGAGATACAGCCTGTTGGAACATGTGAACAGGGAGGAAACTTACTTCAGCCTCCACTGGGTAAGGATAAAGAGTTTATAAAATAATATGTTCTTATTAACGTTATATGTACTAGAAATAGATATAAGTGTCTTTTAAAATCAATAGACATTCTTGCAAGTAGATGTTTAGGAGGTTAATGTGTGCTAAAAGCTTGAATTTGAAGGCAGGTCTTATGGTTTGAAGTGCCAAAGCAGTGTTTAGATTTCACATGAAGATTCAGCCTGTTCTAAAATTTGATGAGTTATATCCCCTCTTGATATTTTCTAGTCAGCCAGCTAGCAGTTTTGGTATAGGAATAAGCATAGAGGAAAGGTATGATTCCATATTCAGATTTCATTTCAAATATGAAAATATTGCTACACCTACAGTCAGACGAAATCTAGAGCCATAGGGGTAGAAGTCAGTACTCTTGCTTGGGTCTTAGAGAGCTCCAAATCCTAACCACTACCTCTCCTGTAGGGGAACTTACCTTTAAATCTGTGAAAAGGAGGAAAGTATGGAACTTTTTAGCACAGGGCTTAAGGGTCAATGTATGTGGTACTCAATTTTGGCCCACATTTTAAAAGGCTGTGACTCTTATTTTGAGGCAAAATTTTTTTTCTTTTTTAAAAGTGTCTCACTGTGGAGTGGAGGCTGGCCTTGAATTTATGGCAACCCTCCTGCCTCAGCCTCCCCAGTGCTGGGATTACAGGTGTGAACCATCATGTCCAGCTAGTTTTCCTTTTTAAAACTTAAATATATTGTAATACTCTGTAGAGAATAAGTAGTTTAATTTGATTCCCATTCTGAGTAATAGCTGTTGGTTGCCTCTTCTTGTTCCTCTGTTTTTATGGTCCTGGGGATTAAGCCCAGGACCTTCACATTGAGCAATAGTTGGCTAGGCAGGTCTCAAATTTGGGATCTTCCTGTCTGAGCTTTCCTTAGTGATTCTTCAATTGATTACACATGTGCACTACCATGTCTGGCTTATTCTTTATGTGCCAAAATAAAAATTATTATAAAGTACAATGAGAGAATGGATATCCTTTGCTCCTGTTATAAAAATTCCCCCAAAACCAAAAATTTAAGATACTAAAAATAACCACTTTTAGCAATATCTTTTCATACTGTTCTTAATTGTTAATTATAATTAATGTAAGGGCTAAAGGATGTACTCTCAGTGGTACAGCATGCATTTAGCATGTACAAGATGCTGTATTTAATCCTTACCACAAAAAAGTCAGTTTAAAAATTTTTGTTATTTTGAGACAGAGTCTCACAGCATCGTTCAGGCTGTTCTTGAACACGCTCTATAGCCCAGGCTGTTCTTGAACACCCTCTATAGCCCAGGCTGGCCTTGTGCTCCTAGGAATCCATCTGGTTCACCTTCCTAACTTCCGGGACTATAGATGGCCTGCCATCAAGCCTGGAAGTTTGAAATACTTTTTAAAACTAGCCCAAGATATATATTCCAAGGAAGTGGCTTAGATTATGTATGCTTTTTTGTTTTTTTACTTTTTTGCCTTTTCTTTTTTTATAATCATTCATATTTATTATAATATTTTAAGTCATTCGGAGTTCTGAATGAATGAGAGTTAAAAAAAGCATAAGGAACAGAACCATTGTTATGCAGTATTCTACAGATAATACTGGAGATATTTAGTAAGTAGTGGAAAACTTTAGGTATCAGTAATGTTAAGTTTGTATAACACAGTAATAAATAAGCACCCTCACTGTTTTCCTAGAAAACAAAATATTTGCCAATCACATTAAGGGAGTTTGAATTCAGGATTAACAGAACATTACTTTCAGTCTTTTGTGTATTTTGTCCTACTGATGGATGAGTCTGTTACCATTGACTCATATGCTTCCCTAGCTTTTGGGATGAGGGGCTGAGGGATACTGGGAATTGAACCCTGTGCCTCACACATGACAAGCAGTCTACCACTAAGCTGTGTCCCCAGTCTATTATTAAAATTTTATTTTGAGATAGGTTCTCACTAAGTTTTCTAACCTGGCTTCAAGCTTGAGATCTTTCTGCCTCAGCCTCCCAAGTGGGTGGGACTATAGGTATACATTACTGTACCTGGCTACTTCTGTATCTTAATGCATGCATCCATCAATAGAGCATACCAGCTTCTGTTCAGTTCTGGCAATAAGCCAGGCAGGTGTTGTATGTAACAGATTACCCCCAGGAAACAGTAAAACTACCATATCTCTATAATCTACTACCTGTACTGGATGCTGTAATACCAGTAGGTAAAAGCTCTAAAAAAGATAAGTTTTGTGTCTATTTTAGTAACTTCTTTTTTTCTTTTTTAATTTTATGTATTTAGTACAGGGTGTCATTATGCAACTTGGACTCATAGTGATCCTCCTGTTTTCAGCTTCCATGGTGCTAGGATTATGAGCATGCACCATCACACCTGGTCTTGGTCAGTCACTACGAGTCCAAACTGCATGGCAGGGCTGGCATGGCATGTGGTACCGGGGATTGAACCTGGGTACTTTCACTTGCCCAGGCAGGTATTTAGACCACTGAGCTATTTCTGTGGCCCGTTTTGGTAACTTCTGATACAAACTCTAAGATCGTGCTTAGTATGTGATTGCTAATGAAAGAGTACATTTTTCCCCTAACATTTTATGAAAAAATGTCAAACCATGGGGTCAGGGATATGTCTCAGAGGTCTAAGTGCCTACCTGGCAAGCACAAGGTCCCAAGTTCAGTCCCAGGTACCATTTTCCGTGTTGGCCCAGGAACTTGCTGGCTCGAAACCGGGTATAGTGGCTGGCGCATTTGTAGTTCCAGAGTTGAGGAGGCTGACGCAGGACGATCATTGCAAGTCTAAACTGCACAGTGAGTTCTGTATCACAAACAAGAAAAACTCAAATAAACAAACAAAAAATGTCAGATATGCTGTAAAAATGAAAGTATGTTATAGGGAATACTTATATTCCTACTACTATACCTAAATTCTAACTATTATTTATCAGTCCATCTGTTTGCCTTCCTGTTGATTTATCAACATGGTCTTATTTTTAAAGCATTTCAAAGTAGGTTATTGACATGCCCCTTAAATATTTGAATATGCAGATTGTTAACTAGAGTAAATACAGTTTTTTTCTTTTGACGCTAAACTTACATATAATAGAATGCATAGTTATATGTGAATATTTGCTGACAAAACTGTCCTTCTGAAAGAAAGAAAAAGGAAAGGAAGCTAGGAGCTCTGAGGAAAATGAGCTAGAACTCTTCTGCAACTTTTGCTTGTGCTTTTGTGCTTGTTGCTGATAGACTTGCAGCTTTCCTGGGTTCTGGCTTGGATCACCTGTAGTATCATGGCCTTTCGCCAAGATATCTCTGCTTGTTGGTGAGCCTAGCCAGTGGTTTCTCTTAAATATGAGTTCCTAGGTCTGCGAGTGTTGTTGCCACATAGTATAGTAGGGACATTATCAATGAGAAGAGTCTGGATGTGCTTCTCCTTTTGTGTCTCAAGGTCTTAGATGATAAATTAATTCTCTGGACAATAATAGTTAATGAAACCTACTATTGTATGCTAACTTACTGTGGTATCATGGGGAAGATTTCTCATCATATTTCATTTATTTCATTAAAATAGGGTACAAGATGAGTGTATCATCTTGGCCAGTTTTCATTTTACGAATGTTAAAAGGATCTGAGGTGGCGCCTGCAACATTCTTCAAGAAGGTAAGAAAAGTATTGTTAAAGGTCTCCATTAGCTGGGCCTTGACTTTATTATTTTAATGTGAATGCTTAAATGCCTTAGCTTCTTTGACATAGAAAAACAAAAATGTTAGCAGCTGACTGATTGACAGTCTTGCTGTGTATTCTAGGCTGACCTTGAACTTACTATGTAACCAAGGTTGGCCTTGAACTCAAAACAATCCTCCTGTCTCATCTTCCAAAATATTGAGATTAGAAGTCTGCCAGTATGCCCAACAACAATGCTCTTTAAAGTACTGGATTGGCAAATCTATTAGTTTGCTGGGACCACCATAACAAAGCACCACAGACTGGCTCAAACAACAAAAATGTATTTTCTCACGTCTCTGGAAACTAGAAGTCTCAGATAAGGTGACTTCAAGGTTGGTTTCTGGTGAAATCTCTTTTCTTGGCTTAAAGATGCTCATCTTCTTTCCCACAGTCTGCTCTGTGTATGCACACCCTTGGGTTTCTTCCTGTTCTGGTACTAGTCATATTGGTTTAAGGACATACTGGTTTAGGTCCAAATACAGACAAATTAGCAAATAGTTGCATCAACTTGAATTTTGAGGGCACACAGGGCCAGGGAGATAGCTTAGTGGAATAAGTGCTTTCCTGGCAAGCATAAGGTCCTGAGTTTGATCCCTGATACCACAAAAAAGCAGCCAACTTGAAGACACACAATTCATAATCATAGCTTAAGTAACAAAAATTTATTTTCTCATAGCTCTGGAGGTTGAAGTTGGAAATGAAAGTTTGGGCAAGGGCTGGTCTCGTCCCTCTTTTCTTGGCTTGTGCATGTGTTCTTTGCCCTGTACTTTTGTGTCATTTGTTTCTGTGTCCTACTTTCCTCCTCTTACAAGGACATTTAGTCATTTTGGATCAGTATCCACCCTTATGACCTCATTTTGAATTAATTACCTTTTTACAGGCCCTATTTCCAAATACAGTCACATTCTAAGGTAGTAGAAGTTAGAGCTTCATTATAAAGATTTTGGGGATGATACAGTTCATCCTATAACACCAGACCATACAAATGATTCAGTTATAATCACTCACTAGTCAAATTAAATTAGTACCTCTTTCTCTTTTTTCCTTCTTCTCCTCCTTCTCCCACTCTTTCCTCCTTTCCTTTCTCTTTCCTTCTCATCCTGTACTGGGAATTGAACCCAGGACCTTCATGCTAAACTATATCTCAGCTATAAACTATATTCGTTCATTCATTCATTCATTCATTCATTCATTCATTCATTCATTCGTATTTTGATACAGGGCCTTGCTGAGTTACCCAGGCTGGGCTTGGACTTTCTCTGTTGCTTCAGCCTTACATAATTCCTCTTTCTTGACTACATATGTAAGAGGTGCTATAGTTGGCGTAGATGTTTACTAAACTCTTCTAATTTTTACCTTTAGAAGTGAAGCCTTGCCTTTCCCTTGCTGTATTAGTCATTTCTTTCATATTGGAGAAAACAATGCTGGACCAAACCATTACCTAAAACTTACTTGTAGAGACTTGGTTTCAGAAGTAAAGAAAGTTAAAAGTAGTTATGGGAAAGAATTGTTATAAGGAAGTACTTGCTATATAAAAATGAGAGAAGAAACTTCAAAAAATAGTCCATGCTCTTGAGAAAATACTGAAAAGAGTGTGTGAAAAAACAGTGAAAGCCAAGTTTTAGTTTAATTATGATTTATAATGTTTCTTTCTCATTTTCCTAATGACTTTTTAATACAGTAGTTATATTTTGTTACAACTATTCATACTGGGAATATAAAAAAATGATTATAGTTTTAAAAGGCCTTTTAAGAAGATAAAAGACATGAGTATAAGACATGAATGTGCAACTGCATTGTGAAGAAAAATTATCTGAATACCCCTTTGAGCAGCTTGAATATAGAAAGTAGGCTTGCCTGGCCAGCAAGTTATATTGACAAATACAAGTCTTTTGGTTACTGTGAACTAGCTAATAAAACAAAAAAATTAGCAGGTTTGTTTGTTTGTGTATGTGTGTATGTCTGTGTGTATATATGATACTGAAGATTAAAGCCAGGAAACACTGAGATGCATATTCCACCCATTTTATTTTTACTCTGAGACAGTGTCTTTCTAAGTTGCCCAGGCTGTTCTTCAACTTGAGAACCTCTTGCCTCCACGTCCCTGGGAGCTGAGATCACAGGCATGCAGTACCACCCCTGGCTAGCAGTAGTCTTTATTAAACTCTTAGCTTGGGCTGTGGCTTTAGAAAAGCCATAGGATCTCTTTTACTTACCGGATTGCTGTTATCAGCTCATCACATACCACTTATCATACACATTGTCATTTTTTAAATTTTAAAATAATTCATGTAGGTATGTGAGTGGGATCACGCTATATGCTTTGCTAGTGTGAAAAACACAGCTCCTTTGGTGCTGTCCATGCCTTCATTGTACTCATTTCTCTAAATTGAAGTTTCATTTGTTCTTCTATACCAGTAATTGCAAACCCTTTAGAGCTTTCAATGATAGCACATAACCTACTGTGGCACATAATCCATAGGCTTACCACAACTGGTCTTGATGTTTTTCTATGCATTCACAAATACAGAATTTTAATTTTTTTCACATAAATAAGAATATACTATATATTCCATTCTGTGGTTTACATTTTCCTCTAAAATATGCATGACTTGGAAATGTTTCCATATATATATGGATTAGAATTGACTTAACCTCTCTAAGGATGGACAGTTAGGTAGCTTTTAAACCTTGGTTCATATTATTTCTATAGGTATAGAAGTAGAATTTCTGGTTGAAAGGGTCGTATGTGTTAAGTACTGATACTGTTAAATCGAGCCAAGCATTGTGACATCTGTGTCACAGTACTTGGGAGGCTGAGGTGGGAGTATCCTTGTGAGTTTGAGGGTGTTTCAAACTGTGTTTCACTATTAAGCATAAAGACATTCGTATCCTCATACCTTTGCTAATATATTACCTGTATTTTTAAAAATTTAAGGATTTTTGAGAAAGGGCTAGAGATGGGGATGATATCCTTTTATTTTAATTTGCATTACACTGACTAGCAGTAAAATTGAGCTTTTGAGATTTGTTTAATAGCCTTTTGTTCTTCATGTATTACCTCTAAAAAGCCTTTGCCTGTTTTTCTGTTGTATATGTATGTTTGCTTCTTGATTTGTGGGTGTCCTTTCCAGCCAAACTTCAAACTTGGCCAGGAGCCATCTCAAATCCTCACACTCCTCTTTGACCTTAGCCTCTGCATAGCCACTTAGTTAGGTAAGTCCATTCACTTAGCCTCTAATTGATTCTGTCTCCTTCTACTAATGTCACATAACTGCCTCTCCTGTAGGTTTTCTTTTTGACGGGAGTGTTACACTAGCCTTTTAACTACCCCTAATTTTTACTGTTCCACACAAGTGCTAGAAATGTGTGACACAAAAATTTTAGTGTGACATTTGTTCTCCTGCGTTGAAGTTTTGGGTCACGTATAGCATGAAATGTAACTTTTTAAATATAGCTTCTTAGGTTCTCTGGTTTGCAGCTGCCAGACCCTGATTGGGATTTTCTGTTCTAAATTGCTTTTATAATATCCTGTAGATAGCATATTCCTTTTTAGAGCTATCTTTGATTCATGCTGATAATCGTTGGCTAACTACTTCTTAAACATTTGAACAAGCATTAAATCCTCAACATACCTCTCCTAATTCCTGCCTTCCATTCTTAAACAGTACTTCTGTAGTATCTTGGGCATATATCAATCTGTGTATTACATTACTTTGCTCTCTGTCTTAGAATATGAGTTCCAGTTGACAAGTTAGCATGACTTTGTATTTTCAGTGCCTGTCTTAGTTTGTGGACTTACATTTGTTTGTTGAATGAATGAAGAAAGCATAAAGGTGTTCAAGAAGATGAAAACATTTGGAGGGAACATACGGCTTTGGATTTGGGTATGTTCAGGTATCTGTGGGAACTTTGAATAGGGAAGACGGCAGGGTGTTAGAAATAAAGGATTTAGAGCTTATAAACTAAGTTTGGCTTCGTGGATTTGGGAATTTTGAGCATAAATAATAGTGGTGGAGGCTTTAAGCGTGAACAAGCTAGTTCAGTAAATACATAAAAGATAGGAGCATCAAGATTAGAACCTTGAAAAAGAAAAAAAAAAGATTAGAACCTTGAGAAATACCTACTGATGTTTATAGGATGGGTAAAGGAATCAGAATATCCTTAGAAGTAGAAGGAGGCGGAAAACTAGAATAAACTAATGCCACTTAATTGTGGTAACAGTCTCAAATACGTATCAGAATGTCATAGTACCTGACCCACATCATATACTTAAATAGAGGTCAGTTCAGAGGAAAGCTCACTCTGGACTATGTGGTATATAGGAAACAGAATGAGGAGGAGAAGTGAAGAAGTGTCAATGAGAGAGACCAACAGGATATACCTTTCCAGGTTGTCCTTTCTGACCTGCTTCCTCCAACTAGTGTCTCCTTCTAATAGCACCTTCAGCTATGAACTCAAGTGATTTGTGCCCCATGGTGTAATCCCCTTCCACAGCCCCACCTCCGAGTACACAAGCCTTTTCAGGACAATTTGTTCTAAACCGTAGCAGTCCTTTTCTGTATCAGTAGTACCCAGCCCAGTCTCTGCCTGTCTCACTCCCAGGGACATTTGGTGGTGTCTGAGGATATTTTTTATTACAGCTGAGTACGGACATTCTGCTGATATCCAATAAATAGAGATCAAGAGTGCTACTAAATAATTACTAAATGTTTTGGCCCTAAATCTCAGTGGTGCCAAGGCTGAGAAACATTAATCTCTATACTGTCATAATCCCATCTATTTTTTTTTTTTGGAATAAATGGAGTTTATGTGCAGATGACTTTCTAATTCACAATTCAGACCTATTTGATACAACTTAGATTTGTATATCCAGCTACCTACCAACCCAGCATCTTCACTTGAATGTCTAGTGGTTGTCTTAAATTCCATTT